CTTGGCGGGAGGCCACATCACGTGATCAGCGCCCCGCGTTGATCATTACCTTCTGACGTGGTCGCCGGCTGGCGTTCTGTGCCGACTCCTTCATCAAGGGTGGAGTTCCTTTTGTTGCTTGTAACATCGTTCCCTTCGCGAACTTTACGAGAACGTACAGTGTGCCTATGAATCTCCCCCGACACCATGTCATGACGCGATAACGCGATGACACGTGACAATGTAGGCTCCGGCCCTAGGTAAGGTTCGAGGGAACTTGAGCATCTTGCAAGCCACCTCAGACGAACCTCCACGCCTCCAAGTCCGTATCCTCAGAGCCGCGGCCTCATACTCCTCGTCTCCCGCTCTCATAAACCTTATAATCTCACCTTTCCATCGCCTACAAGCGTTATAATCTCATCTCACCTGCACCCAGGTATGAACTTCGAAATCTTACCTCCCTGGAGCCGCGGGTCTCTTACTCCACCTTTCCCGTGACCACAAGCCTCATAATCTTACCCCTCCCGCATCGACAAACCTTACGATCCACCTCTCCTCCACCTACAAGCTTAACAATCCACCTCTCCCACATTTACAAGCTTGATGATCCACCTCTCTCACACTTACAAGCTTAATAATCGACCTCTCCTACGCTCTAGAGCCACATAATCCGCCTCTCCCGCCGACAAGCCTTGTGATCCACCTCTCCCGCGCCCACGAGCCTAGTACATCACTTGGCAGACGCTACAATGTCCCAGGCGCCGAAGCTTGAAGAGAACCAGCCTTTTGAGATGAGAGAGGTGACATACTCAACAAAGGCTCTAGAGATGACGATGATGGAGACGCCACCATTCTCCGAAGGAGAAAAGATTGACGAACTATTAAAGAAACCCACATACCTCGTAATGAAGCATGACAGGAGGCGAACCCTATGGCAGTATTACAAGAACGATGCAAACCACGAAGACACAAGGGAGATGCTAGACATCATCCAAACGGCACCCTATTTGCATTTGCTTGTCACCACATCGACCGACTTGAGGGCATTGGTAAGAACATCATACGACGCTAAAGAGTGGCTGGCCTTTCTCGCTACGACACACGTTCCAGTATTTCCCTGGGAACACTCCACGTATGTACGAATCCTTCAAGCACTAAAATCGTGTGGCATTCGACCTAAGGGAGCTCTTGCAGGACTTATCAAAACCAAAAAGAGGAGCGATAGCTTTGCGCGAGAGAAGGATATGGACTTCTGTCCATTGCCTTTCGACGATTTCTATATCGATAATATCGACTTAGCATCCATGTACTTCCACATCACGCCCACCCCTCATCCAAGGACTGCAGACGGCTTCAACGACAAGGTGGTGAGCGCCCACAGAATACTGGAACAAGTTAGGGCAGCACAGCCTAAAGTGGACACTGAAGAGCTCATCAAAGACGCCATATACGCAAAAGCCACTATGGGAAGAAGGGATCACATGTGTCAAGCACTAATCGCCAGCAACAGGAGGGCATTTGAAATGGGGTGGGCCGGTGCATTGGAACATCTGGGTCTTCTTGACCCGAACAAAAAGGTGAACTATTTGCCTGATCTACTGAAGACATTGATTAACGCAGCTGCAGGACACAAGAGCCGCAACAGCACAGCCGGAGTATGCCCCTCTGCCTCCGGAATATGCCCCTCCGCCTCCATTATCGACCGACTTGGATCGAGATTTCGCTCACATACATGACCCATATCACATGATACGTTTGCTGCAGGGATATTCCTTTACCGAGATAGAGCATCTGCTAAGCCTCCACGCAAACGCAGACCCATATCGCCCATCAGTAGAAAAGGTCTTACACATTGAGGCCCGCGAGTCTTGTGACAAACCCCTTCAACTATAGCGTACAGGAGTAGAGCACCGGCTCTATCTTGTGCTTACCGAGTTACCTCTGCGTTTATCATTTTAAGTCCAAAAGTTGTGCACAAGGAGCATGTTTTGGATTTCTGGGATCATTTATTTCATACTTACTGAGTTATCTTTGCATTCATCATTTTGAGTCCAGAAGTTGGGCACTAAAAGCATGTTCCGGGTTTTTGGAATCATGACATTTCCATCTTGTATGTGCAGGCAGATTGCAGCACTATTCTTACAATTGCTATCCGCCTGTTATTATAAGTCTTCCATACTCTTGCACCTGTGATGCATACTCGGCTACTTCTTAAGCCTCATAGGCGTTAGTGACTTGCCTGTAGATCCTATGGATATCTTGCGTGTATTAGCAACTAAACCGAGGATGCAAATAGTCATCTGCATGACAGGCTTTTATACTTTCTGTTACAAGCAACAAAAGGAACTCCACCCTTGATGAAGGAGTCGGCACAGAACGCCAGCCGGCGACCACGTCAGAAGGTAATGATCAACGCGGGGCGCTGATCACGTGATGTGGCCTCCCGCCAA